TGTATGTGTATGTATGTATGTATGTATATATATGTATGTATGTATGTATGTATATATATATATATATATATATATATATATATAACAGTAGACAATAACGACAGATTCCCCTTTTTAACCCTTTACACCGCAGTATTAATTTTCATATTCTCCACACTGTTCTACTTACATTTCCTATGGTTTTGACAGGGAAAATTTGTTTGACACTCAGGAGCTTCTTTTAAAATTTCTGATCACATCCCTTATTCCTTATATTTGATTCTAAGGTGATATTGAAAGGAGAAATTTGAAGCCAGTCACTCTCAGAGGCTAAACGGTTAAAGGAAATCTACATAGCGAAACAAATGATTTAAGATTTTGGGAAAGGACAATTTGATTAATAGCGGAGCTCAAACGCGCACAGCGAAGCCCAAACTTATTACTCTACCTAAAGTGGTGGTTACAGAGAGACTCTCGCTTTCCCTCCCAACTCCACTCTGTGTGTATCCAGCCACAGTCAGGTTATACGTTACCAATGGTTCTAGTCCTTCTATGGTAACGAAGTTAACGAGGTCATTTACAGTGGTAACTATGACGTCTGCACTTCCCGCTGGTCTGATGAAAACCTTATAGCCCTGAAATATGGCGGAAATACTCGGGGGTAGGCTAAGATTGTCCCATCTGATGTAAATGCTTGTATCTTCCACAAGAAACACGCTTACATTCGTAGGGGCAACTTCTGGAACTGAAGGAAGAAAATGTATAGTTAATGATACCGCTGATTATAATTTCTTCACATTTCTGCCACGTTGAATTGAGTGCCGTGTCCTAATTGGACTTTCCATGAAAAAAGTCAGCGTAATCCAAGTCAAAAGTTTTAGAACACTCTTCTTTGCAATATCCACTTCTTTCATGCTTTCGAAAAATGATTTATAAGTGATATCGTCTTGACTAAAGGATATAATGTTCTGCATCAAACTATCGCTTTCGGAGTTAAATTACTTTAAATTGCAGTTACTTGAACTATTTTTATTCTATTGTTGCTGGTGTTGCATCGGTTTCTCTCAACTGCTCTTGGATTGGTCAAAAACACTCGATCTACCATCTCATCCCCTCGGATGCACTATTAAAGCCAACGGAAAGCTAGCAATTTGGTCGCATTTTCTTGGTCCAATAAGTTGTTATTTTTAATCCTCAATGGCCTGTTGTCATCTCTTTACTTTTTATTTTTGTCTGTTGGAGCACTTTCATTAGTTGTAATTTTAAAATGCCGCAAAATGTATATTAATGTAAGCTATGCGTCGTAACATAAGAGGCGGCAAATAGAGCAAGTTAGCCCCGAGGTGTTAAAACATAAACACACTTAGACTTCCTAGCTCTAAAGTAAAATTTGACCGGAATTTAGAGTTCACTAATGTAACTGTTAACCGTTTTCAGCTGTAAGTTCTTCCAGCTCCAAAGGCATGTTATACAGAAGACCCGTGGATGATATGCTCTGTTTAAGTTTTTCAATCCATCTGTAGTCGCTAACGTTATAAACGATAGTGAAATCTGCAATCACGCTACCGTTCCTACATGGAAAATAAAAGTAAAAGTCTTTAGTGACAAGAAGGAAGACAGAAAACTGCAAAAGCACATAAATACAAATACCGTAGATCCTGGGTTAAGCACCGCCCGTATCCTAGCCGGCAGACCCCTTCTATTCGCCAAAATTTGGACAAGCATCCCAACCAAGGGGGAGTAGTGCTCCAAGTAGCCGCTTCATGCGAGGGAAACCTGGGCGGCCACTTGGCTTGAGTACAGCATTAATCCTGTTTACCCTATCCTAGTCGGCAGACTCCTCCTATTAGCCAAAATTTAAAGAAGTACCTCTTCAAATAAGTAAATAGCATGCACACTTGTGTGTAGAGAAGCCTTACGAACCTGAATTCGTTTACGTCAACAGCAACCCGGACTCCCTCATAAAACCTGGTGACCTAAGAACAAATAAGGTAGGGAATTAAATAGAATTAAAGGAAAACTGTGCTTTGTGTGACGATTCAAATGAAAGCTACTGCGTAGCACTTTTATGCATGACGTAATGTTTTCTAAGCGGCATGTGTAAGATGGTATTAGCTTTAAATTCTTTGGATAAACGCGAGTAGATAACCATAAAAATTGTAGCTAAGTAATAACACTTTCATGAGGTACTATGCTTGACTCTTTCATTTAGAATGGGGCGGTTTTTAGTTCAACTTACATTGCTTATGATGTAATTTTTCATTGATCTGTATGGATCCGTTTCTGATGAGGTAAGATCTCCATTCCAAGTCTGATTTTTTATTCGAGCCACAACTCGGCAACGTAGTGGAACCAAACCTGCGATGAAATTTGGGTTAGGAATCTAATAATGGGCATTGGCTAGATAGGGAAGAATTCATTTCCATGTTTTGGTTTACTAAAATGAAAACTTCGAGCTGACAGAATAGAGGTGGCAAATTCTCGTCCCAACTGCCTCATTCCACAAATGTAAGGAACTTAAAAAGTATGTTTCCTCTATAGATCCATACAAGGTAATGATTTAGATAGCATATGATCGTTATGTTATTTCTTTCTTTTTTTCTTTTTTTTTATTCAGAATACTATTGATTTTCTTTTATTCGAAATAGTCCTGTGATTCCTGTGATTAAAGGGTTTATTATGAAAGGACTGTAGTTCACCAAAGCCACAATGTAGGCCAAAAAGGAAGTATCACAGGGCTAAGAAAGAGAGAGTCAAATATAAAATAAAAAGGAATGTTTCCTTGTTATGCTATTTAATGGTTTTTTTCTGCACAAAGATTTACATAAATCAAAATGAAATTAGGAAAAGAAGAGGAAAATAAACTTTTAATTTTTTCATGGTTTTCTCATTTTCGATGCAATGTCACAAGCGAAAATTAAAAGCAGTACAGGGGAGAAAGATGGAAAAGACCGAAGACAGAACTAAGAAACATGACATCAAAAATCAAAACGAAAGAAGACATAACTGCAGCTTGAAATATATGAAAAAAAAACTAATAGAAAACAAAGACCAGAAAATAATAATCATATTAAAACAAGAAGTGCCGTGACCAGGATTCGAACCTGGGTTATTGCGGCCACAACGCAATGTACTAACCACTATACGATCACGGCTACCACTGCCGATCACAGGTGCTTTCAGGTAAAAAAATTATTATCAGATTACTCGCATGACAAGCACTTGTGACCATTAATATTCATAGTATTTCATATTATTTCGAAACAAAAAATCAGCATTCTTCGAGAGCAACAAGATAAAACAAAGAAACAAATTATAAAGAAATATCAAAAATAAAATAGAGTATTTATTGGGGTAGAAACAGACCCTCTCACCTTGGATGCTGCGATAAATCTGTGCTATTCTTTCCTCTGACAAAACCTGTCTCCAAATGGCAATGAGAAAATAATGAGCCTTGGCGAACACTCCCCCTTCAGAGCCCAAGGACATATTGGACGAAGGAAACTCTGGCTCCCCGTCCACTTCACAACCTTCATCTCTGACAAATTCATCGATTCTTTTCCCGTTCCTATAAATTGTAAGTGTTTTTGTCCCAGATGGTTTGTACGTGAAAGCCAAATGAGACCAGATTTTTTCAGGCATCACTATTTCTTTCAGACAATACTGAGCTCTACCCTGCACACGGATAATCAAGGATTTCTTCCCTCTTTCCTGATAAACAACGAACTTGCCGCGGGATTTGAAAAAAGTCTGTCGCGCTGCGTCGGTTTTGTACCAAGGCTTTAATGACAACGAGACGGTGAAACCAAGATCATCACAATTGGAATAAGCAGACTTTGTTGCGCAAGTGTCTCCCTCATGGTTCAGTAGTACCTCACCGTTGACTCCATCTGTCACCAAGCCATCGCCAGAGAAACTAACTCCTCCCTTGCTTTGCCCCCTGCCAAGCGTGCGGAGGTCTTTGATATCTTCCACTGATTCAAGCAACCACAAATGGGAAGAGTCCTCGTAAAAATTTACTAAAACGTTAAGATAAATTGAATACAAACCAGTTCAGCAACGATATAAAGAAAGGATAAAGATGATGGTAACAACACCCCACATGACATTAAACCTTCGAAATATTACCTCTAAGTTTATTTTCAGATGCAGGGTATATGGTTTGTTGTAGTTTAAGGATCTCATGCACTATTTCCATTTGACTTTTTTTGCCTCTGATCAACGACGAGCGCTTGCTCTATCACTAATGATCAATTACGGATGACAAATCGTTTGTTTTACAAATTTGTCCAAAATTTGTGAACAAAAACCACGCTCCCTTACAAAGAGAGGCATAATGCATGATTATCCGAATGACAACAACGGCAACGCAATGCGAGACTGGATTCTTTTTCACAAGTAGTGTTTATAACTATAATAATCACTGTCATCTTCACTAATTTCAGTTCTATTATATGCAAGTAAACAAACGTTTCTCACCTCGACATATTGAAAAGCCAAAACACCAAAACAAAAAATCCAAAAAGTTCTGACAAGTAAAACTGTGAATACGATAAATATTTCTAATTCCACTCACTTTCCCTCAATTACTTACCGAGTTGACATAATTCAGGATCCTTGTTTGCACACCGGCAAATGCCTGTTATTTCGTCACAATAATGGTAAAATGGACAATAATCAGAGCACAGGGACGCTTTAAGAAAAATGATGAAAAACTACGTGAATAATTAATTACTAGAAAGTACAACCTCGTTAACGTTGTCTCATGTTCGTGACCAAAGAGGCAATATTTCTCTTATCTTGACGAACTCGTTAAAATCTTACTTTTATCTATCCTTTCTACATACAACTGCCATTGTCCTGTCCCGTTGACTGCTGAACCCCTATTATCTAGCCTTACACCTCGCCCGATATACTTCACTTCCATGTACATTCCCTGATGATGCCGTAGATTGGCGAAAGCTCGGTAAACTAAATTATCGCAGCATACCTGGCCTCACTTGATTTACACGTCTAACTTAATAAGAAAAATATTTCCCTTTTATTGGACGAAAAAGTGCGCAATGCAATGTTGAAGGAAACTTTGAAATGCGGGTAGCTCAAGAAAACATGCTGTTAGCTTGAACCCATGGAGAAAAACAAGGAATAAAATTCTTAAATCGGGGCATTGTAGAACAAACTGACCATGTATTAAACCCAGTCTGCCTCCAGATTACATGTCGGCTCCGGCGAAGGACTCTTCGTACGCATGTGCTCCCTATATAACTATGTCATGATCAATCATTAGCAGTTTAAAAGACGGAATCAAAGCCCATCAGAAACCCTACCTCCCTGAGCTCTAAATAACACCTCCACATCGTTAACATTAAAATTTGACGCCCCAGCAAGCAGAGTTTCCAGTTTGGATCCTTTAAAGTTTCCATCTCCTTTGTAAGAAACAGGGTATTGACTCGTCCCTTGCTTCATGTCGCCATCGATTCCTATCTGAAAATCAAACGGAGACTCTCCGAAGGTTGGACCAGTGAACGGTGAGCTGTAGGTTGCAAAAGCCGATGATTCTTCGCTTACTTTTTTTTTGAAGAGGGTCCCATCAGATGTATAGTTTAATAAGAAGATGAACGCTTTGGTGTCCGTTCTGTAGTTCGAGGACGAACCTGTACACGGAGATTGATATGTACCTTAACCTTACAGCTGTCCGACTTTTGCTGGCTTGCAAAGGCGTGAACATTGCGCCATATGGGTTTATGGGGAAAGGCCGTTTACTGTTACGCTAATTGATCTTTTTGACCCGAAGGAATTCCATGTTTAGGGGAGAAAAATCTTAAATAATACAGGGATTACTGTCATAGGGAACCAACAATTTTAATGAAAGGATTAAGGATAGTGGCTGATTAGTTCAATTTATCTATTGGTAGAAGCTTCTCGAGGGAACAATATTGAATGTGATATCTTTTAGGGTAAAAATGGATCATCCTGAAGTTGTAGCGGGTAGACATGGCTGTTTATGAGAAATAACAAAGGGGCACAATTTCACTAGTTAACAGCACAAGGTACTCATAGGATCATGGATACGTACACGAAGACGGCTCCACAATCCTCGGCTCTCCCTGAATTTTACTCCTAAGGTTGCTCCACTGGATCATATTCCCCGGTTCACTTAAACGACCGCGCGCTAACATTGTGATTTTTTCCTCCTCCAACTCATGGTCCCACATGTTAAACTGAGTAATTCTACCAGAAAATAACTTGGATGCATCGTTTCTCGGCTTCCCTCCTATAAATAGAGTAGCCGAGCTTAACACAAATGATTCGTTCCAATTGTTTTCAGTTTGTCTACCTCGGTTCACACCATCTGAGAATAACGTCCACGATTTTGAACTGCCATGCCACACAACCGTAATATGATGCCAAGAGCCATCGTTAAGCACACGGGGGATGCTGCCTTTGTTGGTACTGCAAAAAAGGAGTGAAAAATGAGATAGATGCAAGTCAAACGCAAGGCTTCATGTGAAAAGAAAAAAAAAAGCAAAAAAACCGTATTGCACGCCCGCGTAACGTAGAAATTGTGGCATATAATTGACGTATACTGAGACTTCTTTACTTAGAGAAGAGCTAAAAGTTTTTTTCGGCAAAAATCAGCAACATACGTAGCTGTCGCCGTTTATCCCGGTTTGCATACATACAGACGCCAGAAATATTTCTACTTTCCCTTCCCTGTTGTTAGACCACAACTAAACGACATTTAGCTGGGTTTCCCTGGCAACTCGCTGGTACCTATTAATACTCTTGGGTGTAGCAAATCATTGGGAGAGTGATGTCTCAAGCTCAAGAGCTACGACTCAATATGACCCTGTCGCTGCTCCAACTCGGACAATCCACCTTGTCATGTTATCTGAAAACAAACAACAACTAACAAACAGTAAGTCCAGTTTCTTTCATAGCCGTCTTTTCATGTCGTTAGCTACTGCGCCACTCATCTGATCTTACTTTAGTTTTGAACAAAACAATGAGCGAATTTCAACTTACGTGCATCCAAAAGAGAGACCAATCAAACAAAGAGTCAATAAGCCAGCAGATTCCAGTTTTAAAAGCAAGCTGTTGTTTTTTCTGTTAATAGCGAACACTCTTAATGGTAACCTAACTGAGGTTTTAATCCACATGGAGGCTGTGAAGCTAGAGTTTGACAATGACGTTAGAGGTATAACGGATTTGACTCCTTCCGTAAAGATTTGGCGCCAAAAATGGAGATCGTAACTGGAGTGGTCATTGTCCTGGCCTGAAAATTCATAAAGTAAACATGCTTTGTTACAATGACACCACAATAACAGAGTACAACATTGCAACGCGAGAGTTAAATGGCGGTCATTTAACAGCCATTTAGCTGTGGTCTTAGGTGAGACAGTTTATTCCCTCCCTGTATCTCTCCATCAAGGAGTGGATAAATGCTGGGAGGTTACCCAGGCCTTGCATCCCATCCAAGAAGAATAACAATGCTCATAATTTCCTCCTGGAAATGGAAATGGGAGTAGTTCTGGCAGTGAGGGCACAGGCTGACAACCCAGTGGTCTCCTGTCAACTTGTGATTATAGGTTAAATGGTCTCATACGGCGTTTTAAGCTACACTAGCTTTTTTGGGTGCTTTTTTTTTTTGGTGTATTTTTAATGGTTCTAATAAATGATTCAACAATTGCTATTTTAAAAGAGGACCATCCGAAAAAAAAAATTTCCAAGAAGTACCTTCTCTCCATCGTCGTTCAGTAAAGCCCCCAAATACGTTATCATTTTTTCTGATTATGGTCATGGTAGGACCTTTATCGTCACAGAGCCTGTGAAAGGTAGAAACGTTCCAGCCATTATCGAGAGCGCGATAACAAGGAATCCAACGGGAAGAGCCATAACCTTCTTCTTTCATCATCAAACCAAGATACTCATTGTAAATAGTGTCCATTGAAACTATAGAGGAGGTGATAACTACGAAAAATGAAGACACGAGAACAGTTAAAGACGCCACGATATTTAATGGCCATAATGCTATTTTTATGACAAGCCTGTGTACAATTTCAGGGCTTCAGCAGGTTCGCTTTGGAAAAGAAGTTATAGTATAGAAGGCTGACTCTCACATGACAAAATATCTTGAATTTTTCCATGGAACAGAAAAACGAAGAGAGGATTAGTTGTGACCTTAGTGAAGAGCAGCGGCAAAAGGAGTTGCAAGAGAAAAGCGTGAGGAAATTCAGGCTTTGAGGGATTCGAACCAAGTCTTAAAGATAATACTCGAGCGCCACTATTAACTGAGCTACCACTTGTTAGGAAAAAGTCAACTTTTACTAAGTTCTTCGTTCCCGAAAAATAATCTCACTAAGACGATGCCAACAGCAGAAATGCAGTGAGAATAGAGCAACACGTGACTCACCCACTCCTGAGCGATAAGAATTCTGGGGCGCTGCTGAAAAAGGCGAGAAGACACACGACTCTCTGGTAAACGCAATCTGATCTAGTGCTAAATCTCCTGAGTAATCTGGACGACCAACCGCTTCAAAAGTGACCTAACACGAAATATACGCACTTGTTGAAACATTTATATTCAGGTCGGCTCATGTTAGACTCAAAAAATTTGGAAGACTTCTGGACAATTTTGCGAACTCAATGGGCAATTCTGAGTTAGCAGAACTTTCTCGAATTCTCTCTACACCCCTTGTGTTTCAGTGAGGCTAGACAAAACAAGATAATTCGGCCACTGGAAAATGTTTCTAAAGCTGACGTTTGGATCGTTAGAGCGTCAGCCCTCCGTCAGGGCGAATAGTAAACAGGGAAAGTCCTGCCACTCGTTATCAACCGCATTTGAGAATATGTGTAATATCTTAACTGCTTTCTAAACAGGTTAAAGCAATGGCCAAAATGGTGCTAAGACCTAGTTGGTCAGTGGTTAACACTTTCATGATGTAATAATCATAAAAATGTACCTGATATTGTGGATGAATATCGTTGAAAGGGATACTGGCCTCTCTCCAAGTACTGTCTTGTTCTCCAAAGAGCCGCCACAGCAATTGTTCGTGACCCCTGATATCTGTCGCATAAACATTTAACCTCCCCGTATGCATTCCAGTCATATGATAGCGAAATTTCAGACACGTATGAGAGTGGATACTGTAGGGAGTAGAAAACCTGGCATTTCCTTTAGACTGCGAGGCATCAAAATAAATATAGCGTCCTATAGACAACAAATAAACAAAGACACCAGCTGTAACACACTGATCAATTTAAAACACACTGATCGATGATCCTCATGAAGGGACATCCCACAACGAGCGAAACCTGTCCTTGTGTTTTTGCTACATTCTGTCATGCAAATTTTACATTTTTCATGGTAAGGAAAGTGAGCCCATTTTCTGCTACCCTTGAACTGTGAAGGTCAAGAGGTTGCCTCCCTGACTATCCTGGTATTGACCGTTTGAAACAAAATGAAGTTAACTGAGGGTCAGGATAAATTTGTGCATCAGTTTGGAGGCTTTATAGAAAATTCTTACGTTCACATTTTGTTCCCCTTGCTGTTTGGCTTTTGCCATACAGGAAGATAAAATCCCTCCCAACGCAAGCCATTCAATGCTTCGATGCACGGTAAATGTGGCCCGTTCCAAGCTAGTTAAACGAAGCACAATCGTAAACGGCGGGGTATAAGTGGAGGAGTGGAAAAATGTAAGGAGGTAAAGCTGGAAATTACCTGAAACAAAAACCGACAACAACAGCAACAAAAAACAGGCAAAAACAAAGTAAACAGGGAAGTGTTCATGTTACCTCCTCTAGAAACATCGTCGCATGGTCCAGTACCTGACGTTTTAGTGTATCCTTGATGTAGTGTCCAGGCACTGGTGCCATCTATTAAAGATTTCCAGTCTCTAAAGTTATCGTCAAAGTCGAAATGAACTAGGAACAGTAGAATTACGGTATCAAAAGTAGATTGCATAGCAAGAAGACAGCTATTTAATTCAACATACTTAGTAGGTTTTAGCAGAAAAAACTAAAGCCGATCATGCCATTTTCATTTCCATTTTCTCGCTCGAAACAGTGTGCATGTTTTAACTTTGTTTAGTTCTTGTTTGATGGAACTCGATCGAAAAGCGCTCTATGCTCTTCCTAGGTAGCACGAGACTAATGGGATACCAATCTGTAAGAAAACTTTAAGTTTTCTTTGACAAACTGCTAACACTAGCGCATTTGTCCTGGATTAGTCTCCCTGACAATTGGCAAATAAGAGTTTTGAAAAGGAAGGAATAGTTTCAATGAGAACTTGCGGTTGTGAAAACTGTAAACAAACCTTCAGAATTGCGTTTAATCTGCTCTTTGCTCATCGCTATTCCCCAAACCGCGACATCATCGATGGAAGTCACTCTGCTCCACCCACCTCCATTCTCCTTTGAAGCTATGAGAAGCTTGAACGGTTCATGGTCAGGGGAAACGCTCATTTGCATTGGATTCTTATGTGATGCTACAAGGTTGCCGTTGACATAAAATTTTAGACCCTCTTGAGGTTTCCAGGTAACAGTGGCTTGGAACCATTGGTTTACAACCAATTGATGGCGTATTTCCCATCGATAATTTTCTTTGGCAAATAAAATGTGGTATCGCCCACGTCGGACGATGAAACATAGGCCATTCTTAAACCAGTAGATGCCTTCAAAAGGAAATTGTGGCAAAAGAACATACGATAACTCATAGGTAGCAACCAACAGCATCGCTATTCCAGTGAGGGTCAGTTACATAATAAAATTATCAATTTCTCTCATCCAGTCTCCTAACATTTTTGTGATGCATCTAATTCTTTTAAAAAAGATCTTGAATTGGTAAGATGGCAGAAGCAGCAATCACGCAGTTGATGACTTGTATCAGCTATCTGCTTAAGAATTCGTGGTGTAAGTGATAAAGTTGAGATTATTCTAAGGTTTTTGATGCAATCCGTTATAGTATAACCGTCATTCATCTGAATCGCAAACATTTATGGAAAGCACCAGTGATGGAAAAGTTTAACATAATCTACATTAACATAAAAACATAACCCACGCCAGTATACATCGTCATAACAGTGGCCAGGTCGAAAGAAAAAAAGGCTACCTTGATTAGTGAAAAATATTAAAAAATTGTCTTTCTTGTTTCTTCGTTTAGCGCTATATTTGTTAAAGAATGTACAGAAAGCTTGAAAATTATATTGGAGGACTTACTATTGCTCGAATCTCTTCTACCATACAATTCCATTCGCAATCTGCAGTCCATATTGCACTGAGTGATATATACTCGAAAAAATCTTCCATATATGGATGGAACTAACCAGTTTGTAGCTGCCATGTGTTGATCTGAATTTGCATCAAATTCCTAAGATAGAAAATGTCGCCCTTATAGTTATTTAGGAATAAACCTTTTTGCAGTTTCAGATCTTAGCTATCCAAAAATAAACTCATTTTTCCAAAAGATTCAAGAATCATTCAAAGAAAAAAAAGCTAACAGGGATGGTAGACAGGGGACGAGAAGCAGTTCCCCAACACATGACACTTCCGTCCCCCATTCCTTGCTCGGGGAAACTGATGGGAAATAAAAATGTGAAAAGGGGAAATGCTACCTTGACTTTATTGTTGTACTCAAAATACTTCCAGTCATTTCCTTCAGAACTGTACGCAATTTGATATTTCGTTGGCCATTGGATGTTTGTTGGCCTTCCTTGGGTGGCAATACAGGTTACTTCTGTTTCTTCCTTTAAATCGACCTTGTAAATAAAACGTATCACAATCAGCTCAAATGCATGAAATCCTGACAAAACCACATCACCCTTAAACTTCCAATCGAAGCTTTTAGGTTAATAAAGGAGCTTTATTTTACCTTCCTAATCAGCGACGCGTGAGAAAGAAAGAATTGTTCTCAGTTTTATATCACGAATAAAACTTCCATCCCAGCACCCTAACCTCCTACTTACCTTTCCTTACCTCCTTTCACAGCAGACCAACCCGAGACTGACTAAAGATTAACAAAGATCGCAAAAACCAACTTAATAATTTGGCCTGCATTTGTTCAGGAACACTGATCAACGATGGTTACCTGAAACCAGATTCCCTCAAACAAATGGACTGGATGCTTGTAAGGTCCCCAGGAACTTGCCCCTTCCTCATCGTGGTTAAGCCGACCTTTGTTTGGCCAAAAGTAATCTTTGTTGTATTTATCAGAAACTTCGGTTGAGGATGCGGATAGTTGTTCATCTGGAATTACAGTCCGATTTTCAACTCCATGAGGCTGAGAGCAACCTTTAAGAGAAGGCAGGACAATGAGAATTGACTTATACTCTTAAGCTGACTGAAAGCAACCTTAAAGAGAGGAATTTTCGGCCTGTTTGTTGATAGTGCAATTGCAAATTTAAGTTCAGACAGCCAGCTCAGATAGTCTATGTAGTTATCTCAGTCTTTTAAAATTACTGGCCAATTTAACATTATTGATCAGATGAAAATTGAATAAAAGTGTGCATATTTGTGAAAAGTTCAATGGCTCAAGAGTTTTTTTTTCCATTTTTTTTAATCTAATACACAAACCTGTATCGTAGGAATAAAGTTCCATTTTTATGCACTGTATTCTCGCTTCAGTAAGATAGAATCGGACCTTGACGGCTTGGAAAGATGGAATGAACGCTTCCTTTATCACAAACCCAGCTGACGGAAAATTGAAGCGAAGAACCTTTAAAATAAATTACATGGGTGAAACAGTTAAAGACGTAATAAATTAAGCTTTCAAAATGTTTTCAGACATCATGGTCTAATTATCTAAACAAAGTTTAGCCGTTATTCTACAAAACCCCGTCCTGAAAACTACCCAATTTAGTTGAATCTTTCATCTGAACATTTCTTTTTGTGATCAGTGTTAAGAGTGCCGAAAGCTAACGGAGGAAGAACATCCATTAAAATATATTAAATCTCTTTTAGAGAAAGATTAGAAAGAGAAGGATTACGGCCCACTGATTGCGTAAAACCATGGTTTTGGCGAGACCTCGGGTAAATAACCGGCCCCATAATTCAGATGTGATATTGGAAGAACGCAAGAACAACCTATTAAACAAAACAAAAGTAAGAACGAACCAAAAAGAAGTCAAATTAAATACAAATGAACCACCCGGGGCGCTAGAAAATGCTAGTGACTCAGTAGGTTTTAGATTTGACTCTAATTGGTAGAGAGGCTGGTTTGAGCTTAATTTCCTGAAAGATAATAGAAAGGTAAAGCAAAACTAAATCAATCCTGTAACAATTTCAAAGCTCCCCATGTATTTACATTTAAGCTAAAAGAGAGAAGCCATCTCAGACGAGAGACAAGAAAATAAAAAAAAGGAAAAAATTGAAGAGCGTTGGCAGCTGGGGCTAAAAAGGAGCTTTTTAGGCGAAACCGAAACAGGAGAGCCTTCGGGCAGGCTCAGCAGACAGCAGCAAGAGGTTTTATGGCGAGTGGTAGACCGCTGGTGTCCTGTGTCTCCGTGACAAATTGTAGGAGGCCTTATAGTCTGCAGTAAAAGATAGCCAATTTTCTCTTGGAAACCCTGCAAGAACAGCAACAAGCAAACCTTAGGAATTTCTTTTCCGTCAATCTCCTTGCTATAGTTTGTCCATTTTGTTCCATCCTCAGTATTCTCATACTGAACTTTCAATTCCGATACGTCCACGCCTCCACCAATCGATTGCAGAGCCACGTGCGTCAAAGTGTATTGTTTTCCCAAGAACACTTCCAACCATTCATTAGGGCCGGTTGAACACCACGCCTTCGAGTCGCGTTGCTCGTTTAAGCGAGCAAGATAAGGACCAGTACTGCTATTGAGTTGTGATGAGTTACTCAGGTAGTTGTCAGGTAATATTTGATTTTCTAGACCTAATGGCGTAGAAGGAACTAAAGGTAGAGAGACACATAATGCATTAGCTTATCTCAAGTCGCTTCAAATTTCCGTGAGTCGCTTCATATTTTGTTCAAGCTTTTCTCGAGTCGCCTTACGAAATATTTACTTTCATAAGCAACAGTTGCGTAGCGCAGGTCACGAGCCATCGGCCATAGTTCGCGTATCATTTGATTTTATGAACAAATTGAACGATATTGCCGCGACTTATCTTAAGCCTCAAGTCACCCTAACTCGCATAAAATGAGTTTTTACCTGATTATTGGCTATCCATAAAGAAAGTCGAGCTCATTTATATTTTTGTTTTATCCATCTTTAATGGCTATTAGACAAAAACCAACAAATTTAAAGGCTTAAATCGATTAATTTTATCGGGACTTTTATTCTACGAGGTCTCAGAGTGTTCCTGAAGTTTCCTCAGCAACAAAACTAATCTTAGGATACCTTTTCAGCACTAACTCACCATGGTAATAAAAAACTTCCACTTGGTTTGGATAAAAATGCTGAGAGCCCGCTAAGTAATAACGAGTTTCATAGGAAAACAATGAAATATCCCTCAGACCGAAAGAAGCCCCTAAACTGCTGTATCCCATGATTCGGCCATTTTTATCTTCAAAGAGCTCAAGTTCCCTCTCTCCAAAACTTGGACCAAGCAGTGGATCTGTTCTTCCGGATGCGTTGCCATGTTGGATTGATAGGATTAGAGGGGCCAGGTTAAACGGGTTTGACAAGCTGAACAGGAATCCTTCTATCTGACGTCCAATTTCTGCTGGTTTTCCTAAGAACAAGACGAAAACACAATTTGATAAAGCATGAGCGTTTTATCTGGTCTTTTTTTACTATATCGATTGGTAATGTTTTTTTTAATATATTAATCGTTTTCCATCATAAACATTTTTTTTTTCAAACATTCTTTAGAATCTTTCGGCAATAAATCGTTTAACAATCATAAAACTATCTCCAGAGTACTTGATTGCTATGGAAGATGTTAATTAAAGGGTGCACGCACGCTCTTGTCTAATTAAGGTTATATTAATTTGTTGATCCATTCAAGCGAATAGTATTAGTCTAACAGATGATTTTGCTCTTCAGATATGGCTGCGTGCGCCTTTCTACTGCTTTGTAAAACACGGCACACACGACCTCGTTTGCATTAACGACACGCGTTACGAGAATGCCTTTAGGCTTTCACCCCAAACTGAGTTTCTGCACAACTTATGGAGTACTGACCCTCAAAAAGATTTTAACATTATTAGAGAATGCCTACCTCCCCAACTCTGGTCAACAAAGCCTCCAAAAACATATTCTCGGACACGTACGATAGTTAATGTTGGTCCCTTGTAATCGCATTCGGTGTGAAATTCTGTAGTGTTCCAGGATGACTGGTTAGCGTAGTAACAACGTTTCCACGTTGCATGGTCACGAATAAAATCAGGAAATGCTTTGCGGAGCACCTCAAGAGATTTAAAGTCATCCTTAAGTATGTTTGAGGCTAAAACTGAAAGAGATTATAGAGAAAACACATCAAGATTTTAAAGGAAGTTCCCTTGCAACCATATAAATAAATTACAGTAAAAAAAGAAAAAAGACTCGAATGTTGCCCAAGCTAGCGTTATTAGGTATCCCCAGGTCGCGGAAATGTCTCCGATAACTAGGATTGACTTCTTGGAGAAAGTTAGAAACGCAAAGTTTGAAGGGGAGGTTTGATGTAATTTAACATTATGCGTCCTAAGCAATTTAAGATAAGGTTTGTTTCACTTCTGTTTTTCTTTACTTGGCTTTGATATAAGTCTAAAAACATGTGTCGCCTATATGTGCTACATAAATTAGATGGAAATCAACACCAATTCAGCTTGGCTTTATGGATTTCTTCGCTCTGACGAAGGGCTAACGCTGGCCCGGTCGAAAAAACAATTATCTTGTTTTATCTCCCACTGACGCAGTAACACAGTTTCTTATTCCCTTTTAAGAGAATGTCATCTGCGAATTCACTCGGCTTTACCTTCCTCACGTTCACATGGTTGTCTGTCTTATGTCTCCTATTTCTATTGTAAACATTTTTCCCTTTTTTTGTCCATTATCATTAGTCGCTAGTTGCCAAATGGCCATAAGAGGTATCCTCGATCAATTTCATTAAGATTAAAAGGAGTTCTGACTGATTACAAGCATTTACATTTTTTAAAGAATTTTGAAGCTCTTTCCGGGATGCATATGTGACGTTCAACTTGCCATGGCATGAAATGGTACTGATTTAACCTACCTGTCTGCCGGGCTAAGAATGAAACCGTGAATCCATTTTCACCACTGAGGTGTGAGCTCAAATTCTCCGCCAGAAACTTTCCTTGATCTTCGATCACAAAATACTTTTGGTCCGCTGATATTGGGGCTCCAGTTAACTCGGCGCGGTGATTTTTGTTCTTGTCGAAGCTTTCCGAGGAACTTGAGTTGCTAAAGTTCCAGTAATACATCTCTAGAACAGACAAAAAAAAAAGGAAGATAGCGTAAGAAATAATTTTAATTAGAAAAATCAGATGACATTCTTTAGCTTTTTCTCAGAATATCTACGAATTCACTAGAAGAAGAAAGCCTCAAAGGAAAAAAAAAACAAAACAGCTAACAAAAGAGAAAGAAAGAAAGAAAAAAAAGAGAAACATATTATTAAGACTGTCCGCCCTAGTAGTAAAAGTATCCCCGAACAGAGATCCTATTATCTGAATGAAAGCCATTCTCAGTGTCAAGTGACTCTGGAGTCAAATACTTTCACTGTGATTTTGAGAAAAGAGGCACAATGAAAAGTACACTTCTCAGGGGTGAGATGTAATGAAAAAACGAGCTTACTATGGATAGGCGTCTGTGTGGAACTGTTCTTAAGTACAAATGTTTTTAAGCTACAGAGAGTAAAAGGAAGCAGATTGTTTTCTGATTTAAAGAAGAACGAAGATAAAAATATCCGACGTCTAATTATTTGCTTCGTTAGTGGCGCGTATTTGTAAGTGTTACATAAAAAGACTATGATGATGCTCTTAAGAACAATTAATACCTTTTGCTCTGCACGCAGGAAAGGGAACGACCTGTACATTTCCCACCGACATGGCTGCGAAAAGACTCCATTGTAGAACGTTCCCAGCTTCAGCGCTGCAAGAGAGCGCAAGATTTTCGATGCTAGCATTCGACAGTACTTTATCCCATAAATTCATGTATGTGATCTCCCCGTCTAGTTGAGGGGGGTCTAGGACATGCGTATTTCCAATGAAAACTTTCCCACCACCAGTGAACTTCGTCCCGTTACCAATGCCAAGGAAGGACGTTTGAGAACCGTCTATGGAAATTGCACCTCGTCCATCTACGCTAGTCCAGGATGTGCAAACATGATGCCAGCCTCCATCCAAAGAAGGATATTTGACTTGTACATTAAACCTTTGGGTGCTGCAAATATCGAGATTTAATATGACGATATTGGCGAAATAACACAATTTCACCTGTGTCAAAACAGGATTTCTTCAACGCACACAGTAAAAATAAACATTTTCTATCCTGACATGCCCAGACATGGATGCTTTCGTATTTACCAGGTTTATCAACAGAACGGCTTTTTTTTCACATAAATAACGGTTTAACAATTCCTGAAGGGTAAGAACTAAGAACACTATTCAGGTTGAATTCAACTTTTTCGTATAAAATACATTTTTGATAAAGAAAACTTAAGGAGAGCATGGTGTTCAATATTAAATAAATAACACAGGCCTGATACTCTTGGAAAAAGAACTTCGAGTGTTCCCAAAAAGAGTCAAACCTATGGCCCTGAATTTAGTTCGTACGCTCTACTTCTGAGGTATAGGAAACTTCTAATAGGCTGGGCTGTTTAACGAGGTCCATGGGTAAACACTTCCTGCAGAAGCTTTGCTTACTCGTGAGCACTCGAATTCCATGCAGCCATGTATCATCCTCTTTGTATTCGGCGTGACTTTTTCGCCAATGCCTAGTCTTAATTTATCGTCAATTTTAACGACCAAGTTTCGGTCACGAATACGTTGATAACAGTGATGGCGATATACAATTTACTCTCCAACCCCCCTTTCTTTTGTCCTTCAAATTCTTTCCACGTGTTTCCGCGACATTGTGCTATTATCCAATCAAAATCCAGGATGGGGGAAGGCACGTAACACGAATCAATCTCATGTTGGCTATAGTTGCATCCCATTACACTGACACTCGACTCCCAACTAATTTGAACCCTTTTATGTCTAGGAGATGAGCAAACATGCTCCTCACCTCAAGTTTTACTGGATTATGTCAGTACTTCTAATTAATTTTTTCCTTACTTTGGCCAAATTGATAAAATGATCTTATATTCCTTGTCATCGGATCTTAAGTCCATACTGAAGTTTCCATCCTGTTCTGCATATCGTAGCAGATTCATTTGTCTAGGAACTGTTGGAGGTCGCACTTTTAACCAGAGACATAAGGTAAAGGCTTGGAACTCTGTCAAAATGATTGGAAAGGTGACGGTGCTTAAGGTTTCTCTCCTCTCTGAGAACTTCAGAGTGTAGTCTCCAAAATGATCTGAAAAGAAAGAATAGATTTCTCAGTAAATGCATGTACCTTCGACTGAACACTTCATGAAATGAATTAAAATAGGCTAATCATTGCATAAGCTAGCGAGAACGCATTGCTGATGGTGTCCGGTTTGTGATAAAAACAGAATACCCTAAGAATTTGTTAAAAATGAAATAATTTGCAGAGTGAGGGCGGGGCTAGATCGAACATGACCAGGAATTTAACATTTTAGCCAAAAGAGGCTAAAGACTTTATTTCAAAACAGAAACAGTTAAGTGTGACAAGTATATCACGAATTCTAACTTCGAATAACACTTTACCTTCTTTCCTTCTTATTTTCATTGTGGTCTTCTTTATTTTGCCTTTATGGGCGCCAGTATGCGGAAAACCACTCCACATCATAGAACCAGTTTCATTTCCATACTTAGAGTTTAACAGAGCCTCGCCACAAGAAGGAGTGAACCACCAACCCGAAGATGAAGTTGCAGCTCCGCATTTAGTCACCGAAAAGTTTAAATTGTTAAGCAATTCTAGTTTATCAGGAATGTTCCCTGAAAAACCACCAACAGATAGCTTATACCAAAGATCCTCACCAGTAATGTGAAAGTGGCTGTAGTAGGCAAATCCTTCAGTTCCATCAAACGCTGTCAATTCGATCAAAAGTTCAGTTTTCTGGGTCATTAAGCTATGAATTCTATTGTTACCCAGCCACATTTCTGATTTGCCGCCCACCGTTCCAAAACCAGCTTTGTATTCATCCCATGTTCTATCGAAGCTCAGTGAGCCATTAAGTCTTTGCTGAACGACTGTCCAGCCACCACCTTGCGTTTCCTGGTCACAGAAAACTTCGAATTCTTCGTGGTTGTTTAAAGGGCTTATAGCGTACTTAGCACTGGTCTTATTTCCCGACAACAGCACTTCTCGACAGTCAGCTGTGTATAAAATAACAATGAAAAAAAAAAGAAATCAAGCGTGACAACTGCACCCTGATCTACCTCCTGACCTACGTATATTAATAGTTAAATAATCAATGGATCGATCAGCTCATTCATTTGGAAAGTTTTTACTTAGTCGGTCTGCCAGCTAGTCAATCTGTCTATTAGTCAGTCAGTCAGTTAGTTTTTCAGTATGGCGGACAGTTTATCGGGCTGGCCAGTCGGCCGACACTATAGTGACACTATCGCGAACAATAAATCATCGTGTTCGCGTTAATTTGTGACGCGTAAATAAAACAACTGATACAAATGCTTGAAATTATTTCTAGCACGTTCAGGCACCCTTCGTTTTCTATTAAATTATCCAAGGCATGGGTCAATATAAAAATAAAAAAGAGAGTAGGTTCTATTCTTACAAACCTGGTTTCCACTTTCGCACTTCTTTACATTCCCCAATACCTGGGCAATATTTGTGACGAAATTTCTCTTGTGGTGTTTGTTGCGGTGTCAAAGCATCAGAGCTCCACTCCGAGAAAGTACACGGATTCGAATAGCCTTGAAGAGAGTATGAAAGAATCAAAGTTATTACTCACTTCATCTGCTGCATATAAAAATAATTACCGTAAGAATAATTTGTGCATGAAGAGTCCTAGCCCTCACAATGCCTGTCTTTAATTGGGAATATGAATTGGTGGTGGCAAACTGTCTTAGAAGTCTGACGAAATTCAGGGGAAACCTGCAGGTAACTGGTATCCCATCCTGGGGGAGCTGCAATATTCCTAGTCGCTCGTGCATAAATAGATCAATAAACGTTCCTATGTGTAATATCGCCATAGTTTAATTTGTAGCTAGAGAGTCAGCGTAAAAATACAAGCAACGAGAAAAAATACTCAGCAATACTAGAAACCAAAACGTCTCATAACCTATTATCCAACTGCTTATGTGAACTTATTATAAGACAGGAAAATCGAAGCTGATAGAGGAGCGCAGCGCTCTCAACCGACCAGTCAAACATATTTCTTTTAAAGTGCAAAATGGCCAACTGTCCAAGTATTGTGTGATATTTGTACCCGATTCGCACGTTGTTTGTACTCTACTTAATGTAATCGGATTATAAAGCGCCGTTCGTTTGCCCTGGAGGTATTTTTCTCGACAACATTCAAACAAGTTTCACTTACCCATCAATCGTCCGATTTCATCTGCATTCAAAGCTCTCGAAAAAACAAAGAGGTCACTGAGAAAACCATGAAAGTACCGATGCTTGTCTTCACTAATATTTTTGTATCTGCCTATTTCGAACGCGCCGCTTCCTGGACCCTGCCATACGTCAGCTACAGATATATTCTTCATTCCGTTGACAAAAAACGACAACACACTATCTTGGTTGCAGGTTACAGTCACGTGGATCCACTCGTTCGTTCGTAAGGCATAGCTTTTCGTGATGTTGTAATCTCCCTGGGACCAACTGTCGAGCAGTAGCTGATTATCAGCATCAAAGCCGATGGAAAATTTATCTGTGCTGTTTGTTTCGACACTGAGAATTGGTCTGTAGATCGGGGCGGAATAAAGAAGTTTTACCCAGCATGTAATGGTGAACGCCATGCCAAAGGAAATGGGTGGGGCTTTAATGTAGGCCATTGTTTGATCAAGATAAACAGCTTTGTGGCCATCAAGGCGACCTTCCAAGAATACAGTGCTATACTGCGGGCTATAGAGAAACATAAAAACTAATCAGCACCATAAAAATTGGTTAAGATGTAAACTTCCTTGGCGGATGAGAAAAATAGAGATTATAAATACAAGAAATATTCACTCTGCATTAACACCGAAGTGCCAGTTTGGTGATGCAGATGTCCCCTCGAACATTTAGTTTTGCGAGATAGCAAATTGAAAAAATTTAACCAAACAAAATAACCACCGATGGCAAAGGGAAGGATACGAAAGAAAACGAGGATAAAGAGGAGGATTTGTAAATGACGTTTATAAGTTAGATAGAGTAAGGTTACGTAAGGAGGAAGGACTGGAAAACAGGCAGCCAAAGGTGAAAGAGGATCTGAAAGAAGAGGGAAATAGAGAGGACAATGACATCGCGTTTAAAGATGATGGCGAAGATGATTTGATAATGATAATGATCATGGTAATAATGAAAATTATGAGGAAGATGATGGCGATTATCATTATGATGATAAAGATTGTTGCGGTGTCAATAGCTACGACTACAACGTCGATAGGATAACGTCAAGCTCGCATATATCAGAAAACCTACTTCAGATCTTGATCCTCTCCATCAAGCTTCCAGTGCTTCACGTCATGCGTTATATTAACTTCTAAAATAGAGCAAAGGAGCTGTTAAATCTTTTAATGACAAGCTAACAAATTTAATAAACACAAAGCACGGAATCGGAAAGAATGGGACCGATTCTCGTAAGGACGTTAGTGACAAATCGAGTAACATCTCTTTATAACTTGAATTCTTTTCATGAAGATCAAACATTTATCGTGCAAGCGTTTTGGGTTAGTGAAGTATATTGTTTATATTTCTGTCAAGATCTGTCATAGATACATTGGCATTTTCACTTAGGAGGAGGACATCACTATGCAAGGGAAGTCGGTAGAAATAATGCAAGTCACCAGCTCTACCCTTACGTTAAATCAAGTGCTCCCTAAGCAGGAGCTATTAACTGTGTTTGCCCTCACCATGAAAAGAACAAGATTCTCCCACATTAACACCACGAAGATCCTTCTGGAACCGAGGCCAAGAAACAAGCCCTCCGCGTTCGACCCCACACTTGGAAGACAGAGCTGAAAGGAGAGGGTGCTCCAAAACGCGTGACCATATATTTACATGCCCTAACATGCCAGTGTAGTTAAACTTTTCCTCGGCTCCGATTCCCAAAGTAAAGGTATTATTCGAGGAAAACGATTTTCCGGATTTTAAACCACTTTCACTTCTAATTAACCGACCGTCGTAGTAAATCAGAAAATGGCCATCATCTTTGTTCCACGTGACACATAGTCCATGCCATTCGCCGTTCTGGATATGAGGCATTTTATCTAGTTCTCTTTTGAGCGAGAAAAAATCATCTCAGGAAAGTAAATGAGTCCTTAATTAAAATTTTTCTAAACCAGCTTATTGTCAATTTTCCTCTGCTTCACATTATGAACATAAGACATAAGAAAAAAAAAGGTTAGAGAATTTCAATCGTTGGAGAAAATTGCACTACGACCTTTGCTATACCTAACTAGATATGACTGAGATATTAAAAATATATATATTTATTGGTAAGGGAGATACTTTTTTTGTGAGACATCTGTATACCTTTGTAGCCGTTTTTATATCACTCTTAGGGCAAACCATTTTTTATCGAGTTAATTCCTGTATTTTAATTTGAGAAATAATTGTAGTCCGTTTACAGGAAGCATTTCAGCTATAGCATTTTACTATAAAATAGATTATTAGTGCGTTGGTAAAACAGCTTATGAATTGGGCTCTCTCATAAACTTTTGAGTCTTGAAAACACGTTTTCTCCAATAACACAATATATGTGTATAAAATTCATGACAATTCTGCAATACTGACAATTACTGAAAATTCTGCCACAAGCAACATCAACACAGACAAGTTTACTTTGACTGGAGTACCCTTGTCTGAACCATGACGAGCTAATTTGTTTTTAAAGACGAAGACCAAACATTCCCCCAAGAAATAAATGATAAAAAAAGATGAAGATAAAGAGCCAGACAGTGACTATTGCCACGGAAACTGACATAAGTCCAAGGGAATTTCCAATAATAGCACAGGGCTAATGCACTTACACACGAGTATTACCCAATGTAAATAAAGATTAAATCGGAGAGTAGAATGATAAAAAAAGAAATTAAAAAAAAAAATAATGTGACAAGGTATAGGTGGCAAACACATTTAAGTTTATTACCTGTCTTCACCGTGGATCGAAAGCCATATCTGCCCGCCAGAACCCAGCCTCAAGGCAAAATATACATCGGACCCTGCTTCATCAAAATAGCGTAGAAGTCCAAGATCCGATTTCAAGGACGATTTCAACCATAAGCATATCGTGAGAGCATCGATGTCTTTGTCTCCATTTATCCTGACAGTTGAATGTGCTGATTGAGACTTCTGACGGCTTGGAAATTCAAGACTGAAGTCATGATCTACAAAACAGGCAATTTTGAAAAAGCGGACTTCGATCCCATTCCTTATTCCTTGCCAAGGGGACAAGGTTCAAAGTAATGGTAAGTATTTAAATAAGACGAATTCGTTAGATCACAATATTCGAGACGATTCCAGAGACACTTAGGGCAAAGAAGCGGCTGAATTCAGTGCTCATTAGGATCCTGGAGGAATTCGGAAAAGCTGCATTTCCTTTCGACATTAACAGTGGAAGCTTGGGTCCTTAGGGTAAACGCTCGTATGCGGATATTTTTGCAAAAGATAAAGCGAATATTTATTACAAGCGTTGGGACATAATGACGACCCGGATTGCAGTGTATGTCACGCCTCCCTATACAGTTTTCTGTGAATCGGTGGAAGAGCTTAAATCCGAAAAGTCTGAAGGTCTGTTTGAAAGCGAATTTCGGCTACACCTCGAGCAACTCTGACGCCCCTGCTGTACTCTCCGAACTTCCTGCAGTTTTCATATCTAATTAAAAGCATGCCACTGAATGAGTTAATCCTCAACCCTCAATAACACCAAAGACTCTTCTGGCAAGTTGGTAATTTGGATGAGACCCCGAACATACGAGAAAATTTTAACAAAAACTAATATTTCATAGTGAAACCAACTTCAGGACTAACGAAATTGCAAATACTAAAGGTCATTCTGTTCTTAAATTGGGGCGTAGGGGAAATTTTGTTTAATTAATACCCTAGAAAATTTTTTTTTGTTTTTTTGTTTTTTTTGCCAAAAGAAATCCATATCAACGGATTATTTCACGACAGAAGACTCGCCGTCTGGGATCTTTTAATAAGTCAAGAATGATAAACGAGAACGACAAACTCCAGAAGGCAATTGTTGACAGGAAGATCCCAGTTTTTTTCGGGCTGCAAGCAATTATCAGTTTCCCGTTATGGTGCGTGGATTTTAGGCTTAAAATCCATTTAGTCAATGATCCACCTAACATCCCTCAAAATACAGGCTACATTAAACTTTGTTTTCAATTTTTTAAAATCTCTTTTTTTTTTCAGTTGATTACATGAAATTTTCGAGGAGGATTTCATAGCAGAAGCATTTAAAAATTCCTCAGCGATTAAAATTTTCATGTTGAACAAAACAATACCTGAACATAACGATCCTCCAGTCACGGAGATCTTCGAGAAGGTAGAAATCAACACCTAAATTGATAAGGAAAATATGGAAGAATGTTCATGTAACAGAAATGATTTTCATAATCTATACATTTGGGGTATACTTGTTAGTAATAAAGGAAAAAGGGTGAAATCCGTCTCTACTTACCAAAGTGACCAATTTGGAGACCAGCAAAGGCATGATGTGTTCCTCTCGGTCAAAAATCTTCACCTAGGCTTCACTTATGTAGTCTTCGGCTAGCAAAAATTAGGTGGAATCACTCATTCCTTCATACTACCAGATGCACCATGAAAGCTGGGAGAAGGAAAAACGATGATACTCCAAAATGATTGAGTGAAAATGAAGTGAACGCTTCGAAATTAACTCTGTTTCAGTACATTAGCGGTAATATAACTCTTGCAGCTTTCTTTATCGCCTGCTTAAAAAAAACTTTAACCATTCATTATTCATGTATAAAGGAAAAACCGAGAACTTTCCCCGAGACAATTAGATGTTTACCACTGAAGGGCCTCTGCCACCTGTTATTGGCCAATGAGTTAAACATGCTGTTAAGAACTTTTGACGGCTTGCTTGCTTTATGGAAAGTCGATCATAATTAATAAAAGCGCCAAGATCGTGTTGAACCAGTATTACTTCGACACGAAAATTAATCATAACAGTCTTGCATAATGATGAAGTAGATATTAAAAGCCCTATTGTAATCAACTTCCTGCCCGATACTGAATTGCGAATTCGCGTCCAGTAGAGAGTATATTTGGAAGGTATATTTGTTCAAACGAAGTAAAAATCCCATGAAAACAAGAATAACGTAAACGTGCTGGTATAAATGAAGGTAAAACATGAAAATATAATGAATTAGTAACAAATGGAAACAAAAATGACAGGTGTTCCTGGATAAAATTGAAATACAAACATGAGCACATTTATACCAAATCAACTAAATAATATGTTTTCTATTATTGTTCAACAACGACTCTGCTATCGAAGACGACATTCTCGCGAACATAATCAAAATAGAACAAAAAAGCAGACTCAATAAGAAATAAGTTAGAGACATAAAAGAAAGCTGATTGATTATTCAAACTAGCCATTGAAATAAATAAAAAAGGGAAGAATCAGTTTGCATGGATCACTTTTAAGAATAGAGGTCTCCTTTCACCAAAATATTTCGATAACAAAAAAGAACCGAATGTACTAATCCTCGAGACTTATCTGATACACTTCCCTTTCATATACACACTATTCCAGCCGAATTTTGATAATTGATGGATTAGTGAGGTAATGGCGGTGACACCACCTTTTCATTATCTTCTTATTAAAATCGTAATAAAGAAACATAAATATTACCCTCGTAGATCGTTTGCGTCTCTCACGAGGTGGCATCACACGCACTATAACTCTTACCAACGCAAAATTAAGAATCAAATGTCGCTCCAGATTCCATCTGAAATTATAAGTTATCTCAACGCTCTTTAAGATACCTATAGCTTTTAGGACCCTGGATGAACCATTAAACTTCACGTACATACTAAATTTTCGATTGCATTGGTTGAATGCCACTGTGGGGTGTTTTAAGGGGATACTGTTAATCATGTTGGAGTGGTGTTGCGATCTTTTACAATAAGTTCGTGGGTGATCAGATCCTATGACAAGACCATCCATCATACTTTAACAATTTAATACCAAACGATAATAAGATTAATTTATTTTTAGATTTTAACTCTCTTTAAATGGAGAATAATACATGGGCGCGCGTAAATATATATATTATATATGAAATTTCTCTTCGAGTGTTTTACTCGATAGCTAACGAGTGAGCGCAGCGAACGAGTGAGATGAGGTGAACACGAGCATAGAAAATCCATATCTACAAGCAACTATTTCTTACTTTTGTTTAGCATATAAACACAATAGAGGGCACGGTAACGAATCCTCTAATCTGATTGGTTCTTTACTCGGTCAGTATTTTCCTCTCTTTGCCCACGGGCAACGGTAACGCTTTCGTGAGTCGCCGAGTACATCTCTTCATTCGTTGCCATTTTTCATAAATATATCTCGTTTTACCGGCTGGGCAGTAATTTTAACTAAAGACGTCGGTCACTACCTCAAGCCGATAAATAACCTATTAATCCTCTCTTTTCTCTCTCTCAAGTCACTTTGGTTGACTGAAAAATTTCGTTTCAGAATTACTGTTTTGTACAAGCAATAGTGTCATTACGTTGGTTGACAGGTGGCCTAAAAACAGTCTGCAATTAATTTTAATCGTTCACAAAAAGTACCGAGAAAGTTAAAACGTAAGATATTTGGCTACAGTTGAACTAATCGATGGAATTTTCATTCATTTCATATCTGAATTTTCTCAAAGAATTTGTTCGTAGTGAAAAGGCGAGTGAAGTTTTAATTTCAGTTCTACAACAAATATACGCTCTCGGTGAGTCTTTTCAAGTCCGTTCAATTTGGACATTTGCGCCGTCAAAAATTGCACAACAGAAACTTAAGGAATTCAACGAGAAAAGGCCGAATTAAATCCCCTTGTGTCTCGTTGGAGTGTATCATCCGAATTTAGTTTTTGTGTAGGAAAGATCAGATTTTCACACGCCATCGCAGCAAACAAATATATAATATATATATATATATATATATATATATATAATATATATTTTCTGAATATATTCAGTTCTACAACAAATATACGCTCTCGGTGAGTCTTTTCAAGTCCGTTCGATTTGGTTAGAAAATTAAGGAATTCAACGAGAAAAGGCCGCATTAAATCCCCTTGTGTCTCGTTGGAGTGTGTCATCCGAATTTAGTTTTTGTGCCGTAGGAAAGACCAGATTTTCACACGCCATTGCGGCAAACAAACGGGCAAACTCTCACAACTTCGAAAGAAAATATTTGAATTTACTTACAATTACTTTCCTCGCCGATTACTTTATGAACAGAGGTAAATCTTCGTACATGAATTAATCGTCGATGAGAGTGAATAATACTTTCCGGAAGATCATTGACTGTTTTTGAAGAGAAAATTGTGGTGACAGTGCTTGCAAAACTAGTTTCGTTGTTTTTCAAAAATGTACATACGCTTTTCTTATTTTCTTATGCGCTCTCTAATTGACAGGTGATAGATTGTGAGAGGTACTTGTGTAACAATGTTTCAAAGTTTGTTTGAAAGCCTTTTAAATCACCTTTTCGGTGAAGCGTCTCTCTTTAATTTGCGTCACCTCTATTTAAACTACCATTTACTCGCTCAAAAACTATTCAGTTTATGGAAGATCTTGCCGTATTTACGGCCCTAAATCATTCGGGTTCTTCCGAAATGTAATTCGTTAAGTTTAGAAAAAAATAAATATGTTATTTACCGGTTAAGCGTCGGTCAGTATGGTGAAAACCTATGAACTCGACTTTTCTCGTAAATACGGTCTCGCGCAGCATTTTCAAGACCGCAGTCACAGTTTTTCACCATACGGACCTCCCAGCCAGCAAATAACATACATTTATTGACAAGAAAAGTCGACTTCATTAACGAATGAAAATAAAACTTTGGACGAATCCGTATAAGAAAAGGTAAAGTGGGTTAGCGTAAAGCCGCATTCAAACGGTCACGATAGTTGATGATAATTTCAACTTTAACTCGCTGTCATTGACTATCATCAAACGGTTCCTGGTAGTTGAAAAAAAATCAAGCAATAAAATTGCGTTATTATAAACAAATATGGTGCGCACTGAGGTCAGCAATTTCGGTGGCACTGAAAATTTTATTGAAGATTTTGTCAGTTAGAGATGCTGAAACCTACCAACAGATGATGAGAATGAGAACAGATGATGAGAATGAGAACTGATGATGAGAATGAGA